TTGTTGCATCATGCCAGTAGTCCATGTCCAAGACGCCAAACAAGAAGAAATTATACAATTTCAATGGGACGACACCATATTACTTCACTCACACCACAACACTGACTACGGTAAAGGCTACGAGATATGCTACGMCTTTGAAAAGATCGAACGTCAACTGGCAGGTCAATTTCTGCTCAAAAAGGTTAGTCAATCTCCAAGGAAGAAAGGTGATTCCCAATTAAATTCACTTATTAATTACAAAGAAAGCTCACTGCTCGTTTTAATTTTTGTAATATATATGATCTCTTTAGATCTATTTTAATATTCGTGATTTCAGGTGTATCTTGGCACAAGAGACAGTCTCAGATATTTCCCGTACAGTAACGAACTGTTCCATACCACCACAAATGTGTTAAATGATGTTTRCCAGCGCATACCTCAGGAACCAATCAGTGCCAACATGGAAAATCGACTGAATCTCATCAAAGAGAAAAATCTAGAGAATGTCAAAGTTTTGCTGGAGCACATGGAAGTTATTATATGTTGGTTGGCCACGTCCTCTCAGTTGGAGTCAAATATGCCTTTAGTTGAATACGTTAAAAGGTACAATACAAGAGGTTTTAATTTAAGTCCAGCATACAATCATTGACAAAATCCTTGGACCATTCAGTTGAAATTCCTTGTTTTAAACAACAACCACATACAATTTCATCCCCCTGACMCCCTAAATGCAATATTATCATTGAGCATGTTACCATAGTACACAACTCATCAAAATCAAGACCCAACATTGAAAGGGGGCCGAGGGGAAGAACTGAAACAATAAAGGAAATRTCAGGCTGGAGAAAAATATTTATACGGCCCAAGGTATTTTGGCAACCATTGTAGAAAGTACAAAACGTTTTCATTTTCCAGGAAACTTCCTAAAGCGAATCTCCTACCAGAAAGACTTTTCAATGATCCAGAAAAGGAGTTCAAAGTTTGCCACGTCGTTGGGACTTACCAAAAACTCGAAGAAATGTTCTCTTATGTGACCGCCGAGAATGTTGCTGACAAGTATCGCAATAAGCTGAATGAGAAGGAACATGGGCATCTTGAAGAGGTAAAATGTTATTTTAGCTCGACCTTCGTTAGTAGGAGGCCGCAACAGTGTCAAAAGTAGAAGCTTCTCTTTCCTCCTCTCCCCTCTATTTTGGGGAATTTTCCTGGTCCATTCTACTCTATGAAACTTTAAAAATCCATATGAAGAAAGGATAACAATTGTTAAACTTGTGAATAGACGTCGGCTTTTAAAAGTGTTTGATTTTAGCATGTATACTATGGCCTGCCGTATTTCAACTTGTGCAAATCTTCCTAATCGGGCTTATTTTATGGTAGGTCACCAGAGAGCTCGGAGACAANACAACCACATACAATTTCATCCCCCTGACACCCTAAATGCAATATTATCATTGAGCATGTTACCATAGTACACAACTCATCAAAATCAAGACCCAACATTGAAAGGGGGCCGAGGGGAAGAACTGAAACAATAAAGGAAATGTCAGGCTGGAGAAAAATATTTATACGGCCCAAGGTATTTTGGCAACCATTGTAGAAAGTACAAAACGTTTTCATTTTCCAGGAAACTTCCTAAAGCGAATCTCCTACCAGAAAGACTTTTCAATGATCCAGAAAAGGAGTTCAAAGTTTGCCACGTCGTTGGGACTTACCAAAAACTCGAAGAAATGTTCTCTTATGTGACCGCCGAGAATGTTGCTGACAAGTATCGCAATAAGCTGAATGAGAAGGAACATGGGCATCTTGAAGAGGTAAAATGTTATTTTAGCTCGACCTTCGCTAGTAGGAGGCCGCAACAGTGTCAAAAGTAGAAGCTTCTCTTTCCTCCTCTCCCCTCTATTTTGGGGAATTTTCCTGGTCCATTCTACTCTATGAAACTTTAAAAATCCATATGAAGAAAGGATAACAATTGTTAAACTTGTGAATAGACGTCGGCTTTTAAAAGTGTTTGATTTTAGCATGTATACTATGGCCTGCCGTATTTCAACTTGTGCAAATCTTCCTAATCGGGCTTATTTTATGGTAGGTCACCAGAGAGCTCGGAGACAACATCGATGAACTGTGCGTCGTCTTGACTTCATTACGCCGCTTCATCTTTCGGTATTTGCTGTCTGAGAAGGAATTCCACTGGTTTCAAGACCCCCTCAGAATAATTGTGTCTCGGCTAGACGACCCCTCTCTCTGGCCACTGTCAATGACTTCTAGTGACGATGGTGATGAAGAAACGCCAAAGTTCATGCACCTTATCAATAAGTATGTACCTAAGTCAACACGAGCTGGTGAAGTGTACTCTGTGGTGTTATTTTACGACACCTTTGTCAAGGTAGGTTCTTTTTAGACGCTAGTACTTAACAGTTATACCTCGTCCTAGGCAACGTTAGTCCCTTTCAGACTAAAGTAATAGTTTACTTCCATCCAAGCGTTGGTTGAAAACATAGAATTATACTCGCTCCCAGCGGCTCTGAAAGGGGACAAGCGTAGGCCAAGAAGAGGGGTCTTGAGCTTGCAAAATCAATAGATTATTTAACTCATTTCTTTATAGAAGCGCCAAAGCACCAAAGAGCTTGCAAAGAGGACAGCAACCAAAGGCCCTAAAAAGCCCCGTCCAATGGCACCAAGTTTTAAATCTAGATTCACATAAACAGAGCCACATAATGGTTTATTTAGTTAGTTTTTTGCATCAAAGACGAGCTGTTAGAGTAGATAGTCTACTTCTCCTGTTAAGCTTGCTGTCAACAGTTTATGGAAACAGTTGTTTGAATTAATGTTTATTGCCGTAAAAAACATTCGAAATAAAACAATACATATCTAAAGATTTTAAGTGATCCTCAGAAAGCAAAGTCCCTTCTTGGCTTCGGAAACAATTCGACGTAATTCATGACTCCTGGGTTTTGGATCTTTTTGAATTCTGAAAAACAAACACGAAATGGCATGTTACTAATAATGTAAATGTAATGTGTAATGTTATTAATCTGCCATCTCAACATAAATACTCCAGAAAGTTGATTTTTAAAGGCAACGTTGATCCCTTTCTCGAGCTGAAAAGAAAGTTATGCGGGCCGTGTACGCAACCATAACATCCTCGAACTCGGAAAATATATAAGCATTTAAAACAGCAGTACCTCACCTTATAATATCACTGACGTCACCATAGCCCATGACGATAATCGTCAAACAGTCTTCAGGTATCGCTTGACAGACAGTTGATACCCTTGAGTCGAGATTCCTCAA